TCTTGAAAATCCTCTTCCTATGAAATTGTGGTGTGACAATCAAGTTGCTCTTGATATTGCATCAAATCCGAGTTTTTCATAAAAGGATTAAGCATATCGAGATTGATTGTCACTTTATCCGTGAGAAAATTCAACAAGGATTGATCTCTACAAGTCATATCGAACCGGAGAACAACTAGGTGATATCTTCACCAAAGTTTTAGGGGTCCTAGGATTGATTATATTTGCAACAAGTCGGGTATGATTAACATCTATGCTCCAACTTGAGGGGGAGTGTTGTAAATATAGTAAGTCAATTATAGGATTGATTCTCATTTAAATATAACAAGTTAATTATAGGGCTGATTTCTAGGCTTGATTCTAGGGATTTAGACTCGATCCTTGACTTATATATCTACATGTTGTACTCATGCACTTCAATGAGAGAACATATTGCCTTATTCTCATATTTCTACATTGAGTTTTGTTTTCATGCATGCCATTTGAGCCGCATTAGCGAGCATATCCTTGCGTTCATCATTTTTAGCTATTCATTATAGAACGAGGACAATGTCTCTAATCGGCCAAGTCCCAAGTCATTCAACTAGTGGGCAACTCGTTTGAAAAATAGGTATAGTCTTTCGTCATTAAAAATTAGAAATTAACTTAGTTTTGTATGTAATGCAGCTAAAACCTTACATAAAGACCCTAGAGAACATCAAAACAATATAATCAAAATGGGCATTAGCTAGATGAAGCTTGGAGGGCTTAAAGGTTTTTTTTAATTGAAATTGAGGTTGAAGACCTATTTGTCAAAGGTAAGAATTTTTTTCATTTGATCTATAAATTGAGATGTTTATATGTGTTTATTGATGATTTTAAAGTTAATTTATATTAGGTTTGTTGTTGGAATGAAAAATTGAGTTAGGTTATGGCTAGGATTTGAATCAAATTTAGAGGTTTGATGATTGAATACTTAATTCCGCTAATTGATCCTTGAAATGAGTTAATGATAGTGTGAAATTGATTTTTGAACTATGGGTTTAAGAAATTCTCAAGTTGGTTGAAATGATAGATTATAGAGTTAAGTTGTGGAAAGAAATTGATGATAGATAATTGGTTGCATTAAAGTATAAATTGTAGTGCTAGAGAAAGATTGTAAAGTGAATTTGGAATATAGTTGGGTAATTGTCTAGAATTAGTTGAAAGAATAAGTGTTTAGTTAAAATCCTTGATTTGAATCTTTCGATCAATTTTATTCTTGTAAATTATCTTGTATTCTAATTTCTTTTGCTTTTGAATTATTCTTTAGTGTGCAATATTAATGATTATTCGATTAATCCGTATTATTAAATTCTTCGGAGCGGATGACTCCATCTTGATAACCGGGAAGAGTCTTAAAAGTCATTTCTTATGATCTAATAGTCACGTTTTATACTCATCATGTTCCTAAAGTTTAGTAGTCATGCTCCATGTTTATAAAGTTTAGGAGATTTTTTAATTTTTAGTTGAAAATTTTCATGTACTTAAGGATGTTTTACATCAATAAAAAGTTATGATTATGTTGCCATAAAATAAAAACATATTATGCTTGCTATTGTTGCACTTTATTTTGTCAAAACCCCAACACTTTGGCATTTTGATACAATTCAAGTTGGTGATGGTTATAAACTTTGAATCACACATATTGGTCACAAAACTATTCATGTTTTAAATTATCAGTTCCATCTTAATAATGTTTTAGTTGTTCTTTTTTTAACAAAACAATTGATCTCCATTCATCGTATATTCCAAGGATAACTCATGTTTTGTTGATTTTGATCCTTTTGGGTTTTTTGTGAAGGTGTTTCCAACTTAGAAGATTTTAATTCATTGCAATAGCTCGACCCCTCTCTATCCATTATCATTTCTTCGTGTCTAAGATTCTCCTTCTTCCCCATCTCGCTTTTAAGACATCTCCTTCCATTTGGCATAAACGTCTTGCAGCGTTTGGGTCTTTTGGTTTTCAAGAAGTTTCTTCAACAACATTCATAATTTTGTACTCTTGAAAATTGGATAATTTTTGCCTTTATTATCAATTAGATAAACATTTTAGACTTCCTTTTTCTTTTTATGAATCACATTATATTTCAACTAAATCTTTTGCTTTATACATTTTCATGTAAGGACCTCTCCAATAATTCATTTTCTAGTTTTAAATATTATGTTTATTTTTATAGAAGACTTTTTAAGTATTGTTGGATTCATACTTTCAGTACTGCAACTCTAAGTGTTTGATATTTTTGTTAATTTCATAACTAAAATTGAGACCCAATTTGGTTGCTCAATCCAACAATTTCAACGTGATAGTGATGGAAAATTCATTAACCAACACTTTCCAAATCTCTATGGATTTCATGTCCTTACACACCCCAACAAAATAGGGTTGCCCGACCCATGCATTGCACTCTTCTTAATGCAGTTCATACCCTTCCTTTCAAGCACAATTGTCTTCCCAATAGGGGATGGCAATGAGGCTGCCCCACCCAAAAAAAATTGCCTCATCCTCGCCCCGTGCCTCGTTTAGGGTGAAATTTTGACTACTATCCCGGTCCCAAAAGGAGTGGGCCGGGCCTCGTCAAATTGCCATTTTTAAAGGCAAAGCCGTAGGGCGAGGGCGGGGATAGCCATCCCGGTCCCCGCTCTCGCTCCAAAAAAATTTGCCCTATCCCCACTTCGTGTCCCGTTCCGGACGAAATTTTGACTACCATTCCCGTCCCAAACGAGACGAGGCGGTGACGGGACGAGACAATTGCCATCCCCGCTTCTCGATTTGGGTTTGAGGCACATAAAGTTGTTATTTACACCATTAATAAGATTCCACATGTTTCTAATAATTTTCAAACCCCAAATGTGTTGCTTTTTCAACATAAAATTACGTGTCTCCTCTAAAATGATTTTGAATGTGCTTGATCCTAATTTGGTCTCTTCAAACAAATTTTCGTCTAATTCCACTTTGTAAATTGAAATTAAAATTGACTTTTTGATTAAAAAAACATAAAATTTGATTGGATAAAATTGTAAGTTTGAAGTAAAATAAATATTCACGTTTGAAACATAAGGGCATAATATCTAAAATAATTATATAATATCTAAAATAATTATGTTATTACTCGTAAAAATTAAAGGTATATCTAAAATAATGATAGAAGTGTTTAAGTTTGAAATACAATCTTTTACCTTTGAGTTGTGATTCCCATTATTTTAGAAGGGAATCACATTCTCTCGCTTTCAAATAAATATAATAATATTATAAGATGTTGTTTGGCTATTAGAAATAGAGTAGTGTGAATAAAAATAAAAGCTTTATTCCCATCTTATGACTCGTTTAGTTGAAATGAATGAAGTTGTAATGAAAATAAAAATAAAAAATAAAAATAGTTTGATTTTTATATGGAAAGTGAAAATAAAAAAAATGAGAATGGATATATTATTTAAATAATGATATATTATTTTTATTTATTGTGTATCAACTACTTATACTAACACTACAATCACCACCACCTCTATTGGTGGTCTTACAAAAATAATAACAAAAGATAGTATTATTATTATTTCACTATTCTTCTTTAACTATCACTATCACTTTTATTATGCTACCACCATTTACGATAATGATAAAAAAAATATTGCTATTATTATTTTATCGTTGTTCTTGCTATACTATCACCATTATTTTTATTATACAACCATCAATTTTTTTCTATTGCCATATCTTATGATAATGATATCAATTTTTTAAAAATATATTATTTTTATTACTATATTGTTGTTACTTGTCACTTTCTTTTCATCCTTCTCCTACTCCACCACTAACACAAATATTTTTATTATTTTTATTTTTTAATCATTATTTTTATTTATATTAAAATTCAAATATTAAAAAATTTCATTTTACGTCAATTTTTATTATTATTTCAAATATAGTAGGAAAATGTAAATATTATTTTGATTTTTTAATTTTTATTTCGATTCTTGTATTTTTGCTAATCAAATGACATTTAAAAAATGATAGATTTTCAAGCATTCAAGATTTCTTTATATACTAAATACAAAAATCCTTAATATCTCAAATATTTTTTCATAAAAATATTGAATGCCTACATATCAAATGCTCCTTTGAGTATAATGAAATTGAATGAATTCGGTGACAATAAGGTATCGATTAACGTGAGTGATGAATGCCAACTCCAATGGCCACCCTTGATGATTGCAATCTGGATCTAATTCTTTGCATACCCTTTTCTCCTAATTGCACTAAACAAATCTTTGATTACACACTAATTAATCTTGTTTTAAATTATTTGTCACCCTAATCATTCTTCTGATTTGCCGTTAAAAAAGATTGGATATTAATTCTTAGGTCGAACCTTTTCTTTTTTTTAAAAATAGTTATTTTCATATGTTATTATATAATACTAAAAAATATTTTGTATGTGTATATATTTTTAATTGTGTTATATTTGTTTTTAAAAGTGTTTGAAATGTTTAATATATCTTTTTGATCAATTTTTTTGTCAAATATTTTTTTTTTATCAAAATATCCCTAATTGAAATATAAAAAAAATTAAAAACTTAAAAAATAGAACATGTAAGTCATGTGACTTAATTTGTTTTTTTTTATATATATATTTTAGTAGAAGACATTTTAATTAAAAAAAATTATGATAGAAAATTTTGATCGGAAAGATAAATTGAATATTTTAAAGAAATTCAAAAACAAATGAGATATAATTAGAAAACTATAAACATTAATTTTTTTTAAATATTATATAAAAATAGATAAATATATTTGGAAAAAAAATACATTCAAGAAAACAAAATTAATTAAATTTTCTTTTAAGAGAAGAAGAAATTAAAAACTTTTAAGTGCCGTCAAATAATAGGATGGGATCATTCCCGCCATTTGAGGACAGAACAAACTGCACTCACGAACTGTTAAAAAAAAATTTCTCTTTCCTACAATCCCAAAAAATACACTGATGAACTGCACGCACTGTATTCTCCAAACGGTCACTTTCCCTGTACTGTCTGGAAGACCCAATTTGAAAACCCTAATTTCTCCAATTCTTGCTCAAATTTACCCTAAAAGCGCCTTTAAGAAAACCCATCAAAATTTGAAACTGACAAGTTTCAAAATTAGAGCTTCACTGGACAATTCTGGCGATATCAACAACTGGGTCAGCCGGTTACCCAGAGGAGCTTTTTCCGGCGATAAGATATTCAAGTTGATTTCCGGTGCCACTGCTAGTCCCATTGGCCAGTTCATTTCTTCACCCACCACGTTTTTGCATTCTGTGGACCCCAGAATCAAATTGGTAAACAAAAAAGTTACAATTTTTAGTTGCTCTTGAGGATTTTCTTTTTTTATTGGTTGGAAATTTTCTTTTTGGAGAAAATATGGGTATTCTGATTTATGGGTAATTTCGTTTTTGCTGGATTATTTTAGAGAAATTTAATTGATTGGATTTGTGGGTTTTACTTCCAATTTGTTGGTGAACTTTAATTTTATCGGGTGAATTAATGAATAGTACTTGAATATTTTCTGTTGTTTGACTTGTAAATGATGGGAATTTGTAGTTTCCGTTTTCTGGAGTTTTGAGAAAGTAATGTGTTTGTTTCCGTAAATTAAAACGTGTATTGGTTATGCAGATATGGCTACTGGCTCTAGTTGTTTTACCAGCACGATCACATATCTTAATGCGTTTTGGATTGGTAGTTTACGTAGCTCTTTTGTCTATATTGGTTCTCCCGAGGCATGTGTGGATGGTAAGTAATCCACTTCTTTGACTTATAATATGCAAAGACCTTCTTATGTTTGGAAAATGTTGTTGGCCTCCTTGTATAATTCGGCAAGAGCTTGTGAAATGCTTTTCAATGAATTTAGTTAGATTATGTTGTAAAAAAATAAAAAAAAGCCAAAGAAGAGGACTTACTCAGAATTTGAATGTAGCTCTGCAGCCTTCTCGTTACATTCTCTTACACAATAGATTTTTTGGTAATTCAGGGACACTATTGGTCGAAACAAGTTGGTATGTCTTAAATGGAATGGTTGAGATACATGTTTAGGTTGTTTAGATTTGAGGTTAGTGTTCTGAGTTACAACTTCAACATTGTGATGCAAAAGGTATCCTTTTCATTGAATTTCCTTGTTAATATAGCTGAATATCGATTCTTTTTTCAATAAAAAATGACTTCTGCCCAAAGTGACTGGAAGCAAGATGTTCCTTGTGCATAATTATTCTAAATATCTCTTTAGTATTTTATGACTTATTTTTGCTTATTTATTTATTTTTTATTTGGTGTTAAATTATATGGTATATTGCTGCATTTGAATGATAGCAATATGTTATTGTGGTTGTTCTGCATGCTGAATTTGCAGCAATCCTTGTAGGATCAATTGGGAAGAGTGTCATTACTTTCTGGAATCCTCTTCATTACATTGGGGTTAGGATCAGATGGGGTGCCTCCACTTGTCCAGTTGAGAACACCACCACCTGCCATCACAGGCTTGCCTAATCTTCCAATGTCTTTGGGAGGATATTCATATGTAATCATGAAGCTAGGGCCTTTACAGTTTACAAGGAAGGGCTTGTCAGTAGCAAGCACAGCTGCATGCTTATCCTTCATGGTAAGTTTTTTCTCTATATCCTCTTAATCTCTTCATTATAGGGTGTCTGTGATAATTAATTCTTTCAACTCTCTTCTATGCACATCTATAGGGACATGTTACTTGCATACACATAAAATTCTCATGCACATTGTTATCTGGAGTTGCTTTCTGAGCCCACAAAAAGTAAATTTTTTTATTCAAAATTCATAAAAATTATATTTTTGTTGTACAGACTAGAATAGTAATAATATCTGTACAACTAAATATTTCTATTAACAAATTGTTGTTTTGCCCTTTTTTCCTATAAGATCTTCCAAAGTGCAAGCCTCTGCCTGGCAACCACAACACCAGAACAACTAGCATTTGCTTTGCGGTGGTTTATGCTCCCCTTGAGATACATTGGTGTTCCAGTTGCTGAAATAACTCTTACCCTCTTACTATCTTTGAGGTTCATCAATCTAGTCCTTGATGAGGTGAGAGAAGGATTGGTTGCTTATTTGATTTTTCATTAAATTGAATTATGTTTTTTCTATTCATTTGATTATTATTAATAAATGTTTTTTCTTTTGTCATTTAATTGAAAAGTTATGGTTTACAGGTCCGTAATGTTTCATTGGGGATTGTATCTCGCAGGATAAAATGGAAGCAATTGACATTTATGGAGACAATAGATAGTAAGTAAACAGTTCTAATCTCCCCCTTTCTCTTGTTTTTGGAATTTTTCTCGATATTAATTGGATGGTGAATACCCAAAGTATCTGTTGCTTTTTCTTTCTTTTGGAGAGTGTTAACTTTTTCATAAGCTCTTTGAAAAGGAGACTCTTAGAGTCTTATTGCTAGTTTAATGGAGCCTTCCAGCAATCTTCTTTTAAGTATATTGTTATTCATTGCAAGCAGTATTTTTATTTATTACACAGTATACACTGTCATAAAGAGTTGTGTTTTTACGGGGATAAAGAGCATACGCTATCATAAAGCGTTCATGGTTGAAGTGTGTCAATAAAAAGTTTCTAGTTAATGGTTTTAAAGGGATAATAAGTTCATGTTTTAAAGCACTAGGAATATGCCAGATACTGAACTGACTAATAGATGATTGATTATCTTCTATGTATGATCTGTTATAATCTGTTTTTCTTTTGGTGTTTAACTTTGCAGTTTTCGCTTCCTATATACGTCGGATCTTCAAGAATATTTTTAGCCATGCAGAGCAGATATCTCAGGTTTATATCTGAACTGAATACCCCTTCTTCCTCTGCAATTTATCATCAGTTGAATTGCTTGTGATCTGCTGTCTTGGTGACTTTTCTACACACACCTACGACTGTTTTGTGAAAATCGGGGTGCTGGTTATATGTAACAAATTTGACAAGAGTAGCATGAGAAAAGTAATCTGTGATTGAAGTTTAGTTGAAAAGTAAGTTCTTACTTGAAAATATGCAGTGGGACTTCCTATATAAAATCTTCGGCGAAAATATAAAATCAATGGGTTAAGACACAACTAGATTAATTATTCACCCTTGCATTTCAGCATTACAGTTATAATGCTTCGTGAAAATGGTTGATTCTAGTTTTTGACTTCTGAAACAGTTTTGAGAATTTACACCTCCATGATTACTGTGGATCCTGATATATGTTCAACTCCCTGAGTCATTCTGCTGATATGATATACATTTATTTTTTGGCCTTGTATATTGAATAGTCATCTAATCATGGTTTTCTGATATGTATTGTACTTGTGACATTGGGGACAGTGTGCATAAGACCCAAATCTAGTTACAAGTAGCTTGGAAAATTTTTGCCATCCAAAAACTTCTGCTTTTAATATTTCAGATGTTGTGAAATCTTTCAGGCAATGATCGTCCGGGGTTTTAGAGGTGACAGCAACACTCACAAAATCTATTTCTTATCAGACTCATCGGTTGGGATGGCAGATTTTGTTTCTCTGTTATGCTTGATTGGTGTTGTAGGAGTTGCTCTTTTGTCTGACTATTTCTTGGTCTGACCTCACATTCCACCATTGCCTTGGTAAATTCTCTCTGCATACTAAAATTATCTATTTGACTTCCAAATAGTGCCACAAATAGAATCTTCACTATTTTATTTTTCTAGATCTGTGTATCACATGAATGGTTGCCTTGCAGGTAAAAGTGCTTAGTTAATCATTGAGGCCATCATCATGTACAAAATCCTTCACTAGCAAGTGAAAATTGTGATACATGGCACATGAAAATTGAAAATTTGCTGGAGGGACTGGATTATGAGAGAATTCATTTGCAGCTATTGTCAGAAATGATGGTTTAGCCAGGTGATTAATATTCCTCATGCTTGCAGGATCCTATTTACTGAATTTTTGATACAATTTGTAATTAGTTATCTTGCAGTACTCACCATCTGATTCTTTTCATGGAAAGCCTGTAGCACTATTAAGAATTTAAGACTGGTAATCAGACATTGCATCAAACATTCTGAAATGTCAAGCTGTGGTACTTTACTGTCAATGCTTGAGAGTGCCTAAAGCTATGTACATTGAATTGTAATTTGGAGTTTAGTTTTTCTGGCAGATGAACACCGTTGATATTATTGTAAATTGGTATTATAAATAACATAGCCTATTCTTTCTCATTTCTTAGATTATTATTTGAGTTGTCTTCACTTTGTTTGCGTTACGGGCAGCAAGGGCTAATCTTGCTTGTAAAGGGTGGGGGGACTAGCCTGTCGTTTATATTGCTGCATTTGCAACTCTACATGCAGTATTGGTCACTTTTTAGTAATAAGAATAGAAAATGGCAGAACTGCTGAATTTCTGTTCCAAATGGGAGAAGAAGGGCGGAAGATCAGTTTGCTACTTGAACTCTACTTAAAAGATGCTTATTGGAGAAAATGTCTACAATGACCAATAGAATTATGATGCTTGAAAAATATGGGCCATGATTAATTTGCCTCAGTGGTGGCTGCTAATGCTACAGTTTGATACTTAAAACAATTCTCAAATCTTAACCTATAGGTCATTGTTTGCCTCATTGCAAGTACACTCGTATTTTCAAAAGCTCGGGCATAAATGATGATGAAATTAAAACTGACAGCTCTTGGGGCTGTGAAATCTACTCCCGAGAATACCCTAATATATATATCCACTGACCTGCTTTCAGGCTTCAAAATTCTGCCATCAAATAATTTTTCTTTTATCATTTCTGCACGCCACCCCAACCCCTGCTGGAACTGATTCAGTCAAGAACGCCACATAACATTTTTATTCCTTGAAAGAACTCAGCATAGGGGGCATTTCTATTTCTTAAAAATGGAAGAGACCGCGAGTCACCTCGGTTATTATACAGTAAGGGTCTGTTTGACTTAGAGGTTGAGCTGTGACGGTAGCTGCAGCTATGATGGTGGCAATTGTAAATGATATGAAGAAAAAGCTTGAAAAAACTCTGAAAGCTCCAAAATGTAGTTTCTTTGAGAAAAAGCTAGCTTTCGACAACCGGCTTTGGTTTTACCAAAGAGGGCGGGTCGGCTTTTTGGCTTAGAAAGCCGAAAAAGAAAAACGCACCTCATTGCCGAAAGGGTATTAAGTATAAAATCTAAAGAAGGAAAAAGCAAGTTATTAGGCTGATTAAGGGAGTATTTAGTTATTTTTGACACTACTAGGATTGATTAACTTGTTGTGATAAACTACAGGACTGAGTAATAATTAATTCAAGATGATGCAGATTAGGGTTTCTCGCTTGTTTTAGAGTTTTAGCTTTACGCACGAAACCAAACGAGGAGAAGAATCCCAGAATTGGAATCTAAAAGCAAGCCAATTCAATTAAGGGTGATTATTCGATTCGATTTTGTTTTTTATTTTTTTGATTTTCGATTAACTGAATTCACCAAAAAACAAACCGAAATTGAACTGAATTGAGATTCGGTTATTCGTTAAAAAATCAAAAATTCTGATTTAGTTTTTTGGCTTTTCAATTAAAACCAGTTTTTTTTTTTATCTTTTTTCTTCTTCTTCTTCTTCTTAATTTTTCTCTTCAACCAACCTTGAAATTGCATGCCTGACTAAGAAAATATAGTTTACATTTTTGTTTCATTTTTTTTTTAAAAAAGAAATAACTCCTATCAATTTTAATTGATGAGTTTTTACCATTGGCCTAACTCCATACATATCTTCAATGATACATTCCTTGTCAATTGGCATTTGCCCCTTTCAGGTTACATCATACTTGATTTGCCTCGAGATTTTGAAAATAATGAAGTGTTTATCCCCAATACCAAAGGGACCTCAACTTTTTGTTTTTCTTATTTTTTATCCAAGAGGAAACATTATATTTTTTCTATCCATAAAAATGTTTAAAGGAATAGCTATATTACATTCATGATAAATTCTCTCGTAGTTTTTGATTGAATTGGTATAAAACAGGAAAGATAAACCTATTAAGAATGATTTACTATTTTTTTTCACTGATTTTTTTTTTCTTTTTCAAATGTTATTTTTAACTGAAGTTTGAAATTTTTTACGACTGAAATCACTATTTTGGGGGACAATAAAATTTTTCACCAAGTTGGATTTTGAAATTTTTAAAAGACAATTAAAATACAATCCATAAACCAACATCCAAGCATCATCCATAGTTAAAATTCAATCCATAAACCAACGTCTATGATTAAAATACAATTCATAAACCAACATCCAAACACCATCCATAATTAAAACACAATCCATAAACCAACATCGATAATTAAAATACAATCCACACAATCCATAGAGAATCATCCATAACTAAAAATTTAAAATACAATCCATTAAGCATCCTTAAACCATAATACAAATACAAACATTAACTTCCAAATTTCAAATCTTGGCATTCCCTAAAAAAAAAAAAAAAACATTTACTCAAATAATCTATCAAAATATTCAAGTTCAAAAAATTAATATATCAAGCAAATAAAAATTAAAAACTTACCCATGTCATCCAAACAAGCAAAACGCCATTAATCCATCATATATATATATATATATATATATATATATATATATATATATATATATCATAGTTGGTTCCATAAAAGGTGTTGCTATATCTAAAAAATAAAAAATAAATCAATAATTTAACATTATAAAATATCAAACATCTTAAATAAAAAAAAATGACAAATGAAAAGAAAGAGTTAATAAAATAACCCACTTCAATTTTGTCAAGATCTTGAAAATCTTCTACAACATTAATTGGTATCAATAAATTTCGAATCTAATCTTGAACACATATAAGAGATTGCACAATGTTAGGAGTTAAAAAAACTCTTAAAAGAGTCAAGAAATCTTCCTCTAGTTCTAAATGAAGATTCTGAAGTAATAGTTGATATTGGAACCACCAACACATCATAAGCCGTTTGAGAAAGAATGGGAAATCGAGCATAATTGTTTTTCCACCACATCAAAATATTAAAATCTTTATCCACTTTTTTACGAGTTTCATTAAGATACCTATCCAACTTTGATTTATTTTCTCCACCTTCAACATCAATCTTGTGTTTTTAATATTTTAATTTCATCTCATAAACTACACCAATTGGCCCTTACTCAACCATTTATTCATTGGCATTTTCCATTCTCCCACAACTTTGGTCAATATTAGGTCTTGCCAACCCATAATGTGAATGATACATGGGACATATAGATTCTCTCACAAGATTTGTTATCATATCACCATTCAATTCACTATACAATTCATTGAAAGAAAATTGAACAAATTGAAATTTATGCCTAGGATCAAGAATTGTTACAATATAAATCAATTTGTTCATTTTCTTAACGTTTTCCCAATACTTATCAAACTTTTATTTCATTCTTGTACCCATTAAACAATTAGTGGCCTCGAAACTTTATTGCTATTTTCTTAAAACATATTAAACCGTACAAATCTCTTCAAAGAAAGCATTAGAAGTGACATACAAAGAACCGAAACAAGCAAAGTAAGGTCATAAAAGGGTTTCAACATGGTCACCATCTTTCTACAAGCTATCCAATCATTGACATTAGGTGGTCCAAATACATCTTCACCATGATCTACATCAAGTTCACATCTATATAAAAGATCAATTTGCTCATATCTCTTAAAAGCTCTCTCAAATTTTTGAGCCGCATCTAAAATCAAATATGTTGAATTCCACTTAGTTGTAACATTCGGATGTAACAAAGTTTTAGAATCAATCTTTTCAATCTCAATGCATTCCTTAAATTTCTTCAACCTAGCTAGAGATTTTTTCACATACCTCATGACTGTTTGAACATGAAGGATCAAAGGATTAACATGTTTCAATCTATCGACAACAACAAAATTCAAAATATATACCACACATCTCATAAAGGAATTCTCCATCTAAGATACTATAACCCCAATTCTTAATAACATCTTTTAAGTGTCTAATTATCACATTATTCGAACTTGTATTGTCAACCATAATAGTAAAAACCTTTTCAATCTCCTAATCAATTAAGTACTTCTTAATGGTATTGCCTAAATCTGTATCCTTATGACTATTAATTGAATAAAAATTCAAGATTTTTAAGATTTTTTTATGCAACTTTCAATCATTATCAATAAAATGGGTCATTAGACATATATAATTTATTCTTTGAGTAGATGACCATGTGTCCTTAGTGAGAGAAACTCATTGAGAATTCATTTTTAAGAATTGCTTCAATATTAATCTCTCATTTAAAAAAAGTTGATAGCAATCTCTAGAAATCATAGACCGTGATGGAATTTTGAATCTAGGTAATACAATGGACATAAACTTTTGAAACCCATAACCTCCACAAATTTAAATGGAAGTTCTTATACAATGATCATGTAAGCTAAAACATTTCTAATAGCATTTTGATCAAACTTTCATGTGCTAATAGTTCCTTCTCCTTGAACATTTGGGTGAAGGTTTAATACAAAAGGGGTGTTTTTTACATACAGTCATATGAGACTTAAGTGTGATAGTGTCATTTTTTATAGTATGAGCGACAAATGCCTTATCACAATAATTGCATCTGACTTTAATTTCTTTATTTGCATCTTCAAACTTGATGACATGATCCCACATAATTGTTTCCTCTTTATTCTCCTATCATCTTGTGTGTTTGTTTGAGCTACACTTAGTGGTTCATTGCTTGAACTCATAATTTCTTCGGATTGCGATATCTACGTGCATAGTAAATCATTAAAAGTTGAAGTTTTTTATATATAGAAATGTATAGCCAAAGCATAAAAGTTAGCTGCTTAGCTCCAGCCACGACTCAAAAATTCCTAATTTGGAAGTAAAACAAGACAATGAACAATTTAACATTCAATCTGTATGGTGGGACAGTGATTAAACTTTGTGATAGCAAAACAAGACCAATTAGAGTTTGTAAATAATATACTACCAACCAGAAGCTGTTGGCTGCTGACGCAAAAGCTATAGTTGTTTCGAAGCAAGAAACGTGAGCAGCCCCTATAAACATCACCTATTTGAAACATCAAACTACTGCAGTTTGCCCAGCTTCTAAACGCTCACAACAAGATATCCAAAGAACTTAACATAGCATGAGATGTTGCATCCCACCAATGAACAATTTAACATTCAATTGTAAATTGATTTGCTTAAAAAAATAGAAAGGGAAAATGTTTGCTTCAATATTAATATACAAGGTAGAATTACTATTGTTTTTTTTTTTGCACCCTTGTAATTCCATCACCTTCAAAGTCAAAACTGGGTGGGCATATTAAACTATCTATGAAGCTTCTTATTTCCAAGTATACCTATGGAGCATTTTCATGCTTTTTCATTCATTTTTCTCTGTTGTTACAGGCATTATAGTCCTTTTTATACATTCAAAATACCATATCTTAAACTATGCTTTATAATAAATAAATACCATTCTAATAAAAATATGCAGCTTAGAAGAAAAATTACAATCAATGATCAACACTTGCAATTACCATTACAAATCTTCACAAAAATAAATTAGTAGGCTAAGTTATTATCATACAAGCAAACGAATAAACTACATGAAGCAGTAAAGAATGAGTGAACACTTGTATTATCTGGTTTAACTCTCGATAGTCAACACCATCCATTTGTGGTCCTGACAATTTCTGGAACGACATCATTTTAGCTTAACCATATAGTAATATATATTTGTCAATTCCTCCAATTGCTACACTTCCTTAAAAATTTGTGCAAATGGCACTGGCAAATATTAGAAAACATGAAAAGATGCTTAAAAAGAAAAAGAAATCTTATTGTGTTTGTGGCCTTGGGAACTGTCGAATTGGGTTGGCAACTGGAATGTGGTTTGTGGCTGTGGGTGGAGGAGAAGGAGGAGGAAGAAGGTCGTGGAAATTGAGCTGAGGCCTAAGGAGGATTAGAGTGTGGAGGAGGAGGACGGATGACTGGAGTTTGGAGCTAGCTTTTGTTTCTGGTGGGCAGGGGTTAGGCGATTGTCGATGACTAGGTGTGGTTGGCTGGCTATCAATTGTGTGCGACGAACAATGAAACGGGACTATGAGAGGGTTTTTTGTGTTTTGGCTAGAGAAGATAATAGATATTAGGGATTTAGGAGTAATGAGCAAGGGACTGACTGTCAGCTAACTAGTAAGGGACTCTGTTGGCAAGTGCAAAATTCAATTTGTGGTGGAAATCGAATTTTTTAAAAAGAAACCAAACTAAACTGAATCGAAATTATTAATTCAATTCGATTCGGTTCGGTTTTAATCGAATGGTGCGCACCTCTAAACTCAGCCATACCTAACTACTGCAAGAACCCGCGAGTCACACAACAGACTCTCGAAGCCTCACCAATGGTAACCCCGTTTCCTTCTTCTCCAACCTACAAGCGCCGAAATGACCATCACAACCTATCGGCACCGGAAAACGAAAAAAAAACCAAGAAAACACCACCTCCATTGCCATCTCTTCCTAACGAGCTCATCATCGAAATCCTCTCTCGATTGCCAGCTAAATCCCTAATCCAATTCCGGTGCGTTTCCAAATCATTTAAATCCCTGATTTCAGATCCCGAATTCATTAAAACCCATCTCGAAAAGGTCAAAACTTTATCAAAAAGCCACCACCCTGATTTCTCTCAAACAATCGTTATTTCCTCTAGTGAGCCGCTGTTTAAGCTCAAATCTTGCTCAGTTCACTCTGTTTGTAATAATCCAGAAACTGATGTTGTTATTCTTGATGATTATTCGTTGAAGGATACCTATAGTTATGATTGGGTTGTTGGGTCCTGTGATGGGTTACTGTGTTTGGGCATTGAGCAGGATTTTGTGGTCTTATGGAACCCAACTACAAGGATTTTTAATAGATTGCCTGATTTAAGATTCTCAAAGAAATCAGGGAGTTATACTGTTTTTGGGTTTGGTTATGATAGTCGAGTAGATGATTATAAGGCGCTGGCTATATTTTGCTTTTGCACTAAGAGTGTGCATGGAGGGAGTAGATATGTGAATAGAATTAAGGTTTGTTCTTTGAAGGATAGGCATTGGAGGAGGGTTGATGATTTTGAATATGGTATTCCGTATGATGTTTCGGGAAAACATGTCAATGGGAACCTTTGTTGGCCGGTCATACCTGAAGGAGGGAGTATGGAATCAATGTGGTCTATTGTTGCTTTTGATTTAGCTGAAGAGACGTTCAAGGAGGTTGTGCAGCCGGAATATGGGGAGGGTGTTTATGACAGAGTGTTGGGGGTTTTACAGGAGTGGCTTTGTGTTATGTGTAATTATCTGGGGGTTCGTGCCGATGTCTGGGTTATGAAGGAGTATGGAGTGGGTGATTCTTGGACTAAGATGTTTAGCATACCATATTTGGATGATCCTGTGCGGTTTCACTATTCAGTGCCACTATGTATTTTTTCTGGAGGTGAGGTTTTGTTGGAGTATAATTCAGTTTTTGTGATTTACAATCCTAAAGATGGTAATTTCAGATACCCTATAATGAATGGTGCTAGTTCTTGTCTAGAAGCAGATCTGTACATTCAGAGCCTGGTTTCCCCTATGGTTGATTGTCATGAGTAAACAACTAGCATAATGGGAAACAACAGTGATGGGTTTGAACCTTTTAGCTATACATCTAGTTGTTGCTGTCTTTTCAATTTGATGAAGGTTACAAGTTTTTATTTTCGAAAAAGAAATCATGATCCTGAAAAGAATCTTTTGATTCTTATTCTTAGATTTCATTAAAAAGCAAAGGGTTACTGTCTGTATCTTCGCTAGATTCTGTGCCAATGGTAACCTGGTCATGCCCTGTAAGTTTTTGGGATTAATTAGTCAGTAGGCGTAGAGACAATAGGATAGCAATCTCATGTTAATTTCTATATCAAATGATCAAATTGTTGTTGATTCATTCTTTTCTATGATGATGATGACTCCTTTCATGATTGCATATCCATATTCTTATAGTGATAAAATTTACACTTCGAAAAACACATGATTAAGACAATGTTTCAATATCACATGAAATACCATACTCAGCATTCCTCAAAACATGATCTACACAAACTTAAAAATCCTAATAGTTGAGACCTACAATTCATATTGAGATGATGTCTATACAGCACACTTACAACTCACATTGAGATTGGAAATGTGAGTTGGAAGCTAAAGTAACCACATGTTTCTCATTCTCATTCCCATATATGTCTCCTAACTGAATATCTGATGATGTTCCCTTGTCGCTACTCTTTATTCCGAGATCATATTTTGTTACTCTTTATTCCTAGATCATTATAGCATTGCAAGCGTTCATTTAGAAATATTTGGAACAAGGTGAATGTATAAAGCTTTCTAAACTGTTCTTGTACTGGTTCTTTTTTTTGCAGAAAAGCCTGGTTTTTTAGTTTTTTTTTTTCTTTAACTGCATCTGCATCAGTGTTATTGTTCAGCTTATACATGACCCTCAACCTTAGCAATATGCACTTCTGTTAGCACCATCAGCCCCTTCTCTACACATAAGAAACAGATCTCTTGGACCTCTCCAAGAGATTGCCCTTCAATCTGATAAAGTTATCCCTCAAGCATAACAGGGAGCTAGCAATGAATTCCATGGAGTTTCTGTTAGATTTCCATAACAATCAATCGGGCATGTAATTAGTAATATCGAAGACAAGCAAGTCCAATAATTTGCTAAAATAAAATTATTGTTTTTGCTCTATCTAGGAAGAAATGTCACAACAAATATGACTACAGGAGCAAAGCATATTCAGGGCAGTAAGCAATGTAAATTTCCTGCCTATAAATGAGAAGGATGATACTACAAAACCATGATGCTTGATCCAACCCTAGTACTCTCAAGGTCACCAGTAAAGTCTCTTTGACGATTCAAATGCGTATGAAAATGTTGGTGTTCAAACCAGAGAGGGGTCTTTAGATTGGCCATTTCTTGATGATATTACAAAACTATCAGCGTGAAGCATAAATAAGTTTTTAAAGACTGGCCATTTGGGTTTTATTGAAAATGCAGAGAACTTAATTTTTAAACCACCAGTCATGGTGCGTGAGAGACTGAAATTTGCCTCTTGATTATATTCATACGAGGGAAATTTCTAAACTTGGGAGGAGGATTATGCAGTTAACGAAAAATCTCATATTTACATGTGTTTCATGGGTTTCTAAATTCTTTTTAATTGTCAAAGATCCGAGGAAATAGAAGTTAGTCCATTCTTTTTGAGAGGGGATTGAGAGTAGATTTGTAATTTTTTTTTCATTTTTTTTTCAAGTGACAAATTAATATGACATGTCATGCAACGTAAAAATTTTTATGCTTGCAATCGATTTTGATAAAAAAAATTGATCGAAAAACAATCAAAGACCACATTGAAAAAAAAATCCAAAATAAAAAGAGGTGAAAAAAAAAAGGTTAAAAGAACAATATTAAGAAAATCAAAATAATAGAGTAACGTTTCATGCGATTGATCTAACAAAATATACACTACAAACGTTTTATGTGATTGATCTAACAAAATATACATCGGAAATTCTCTGCACCACAGATGTTCTCAACCAGGTTGCACCATGTTAGTTTCATACAATCTGGTAGTAGATCAAAATATGTTTTCAAATTCACCTTCCCACGGCTCACCTGGAGAGCAACGAGCAGTAACTGTTATAGAAATACTGAGCCATCCATCTCATGAATTTGTGAAGTAAAATGCAAATGGATGGAGCACGATCGCTGTGATAGTTTCCCAGCCAACTCTTGCTGCCCAGCTATACTGCCTACCGTTGTTAAAAGGGAGCCTTACCTCAGACATATGTGTATATCTGTGGCAGCAGGAATCTAATTGTCTACTTCTCGGCAGACCGGCCACAACAATTACCTAGAGATATCACATCAAGAATAAACGATGTACTTGTACGGTTGTCTCGGCAACCTCATCTATGCCTACAGGCGTCATATTGTTAGAACAGGACGTTTCTCTTTCCATCTCGTCATAGAAGCAAGTACTTCCTAAAAACAAATAATGTTATTTAAATGGTCTGTAACTGAAATTATAAAGAAAAAACCTGGAAAGGAAAAACTGTGAAAAATCATGAAGAGCAAATTGGTGATAGAATTTACACTTTCAGAACTACAGACAATCTTATCAATTAGTATTACAAGAAACGGGAATGCACAACATGTGATAAAATACAGAGAAATGCTATTATTCCCAAGTTACAAGTCTTCAGTGAAGTTGGCCAGAAACAAGGTACCAAAAAAAAAAAGCTCAAGCTACAAAAGTTAGCCGTGCATGTTCATTGGTCCCATCCAAGGCTTACCTTTGTCGGCAAAATTTTTTGCACCTTCTCGCATAATCTCACAAGCAAGTCTGTATTTTTCAAGAGATGTTGTCCCAGACTCTATGTATTTACATGCTGTTTCCCTCAAACTCCACACCATTAAGGCCTTAAGTTCTTGACAGCTAACCCCAGAGTCAACATCACAAACAGTACCATACTCAGCATTTCTCGTCCACCGATGTAAGAGGTAGCAAGATGGAATTTCTCTTATGTCCAACAGGATGAAGACCCTCAAAACATGCTTACAAAGCACACCTTCAAATTCAAACATTTGACAGCTGCAGCTCACATTGAGGTTGGAGGCACTAAATGTAACCATATGTTTCTCAATCTCATTCCCACATCTACGCACTGAGTATCTGCTGATGGTACCTTCTTCGTAAGCCTTTATTCCAACATAATTATAGCATTGCAGAAGCTCCTTCTGAAATATTTGGAAAACATTGAGTGTATAAAGCCTTCTACATTGTTCTTCTATTGGTTCTTTTGTTTGCAGAAAAGCCTGCAAATTAGAAGAGTTAAAATCCTCTTTTCTTTCCTCCTCGCGACGTTGCTCAAGACCTTGCTCGTATCGTGCTATAAACTCTCCAAGTGGTGTTTCAGCATTCAAGAATATACCAAAGAACGATTCCATACTTTCATTTATGGGAATGCCAGCAAAAAAAGTACCTCGGAGGTACAATGGAACCCAACTTTCACGCTTTTCATACATTTCTTTGAACCATGCATTCTCCTTCAGACCATATTTGTTGACAACTGCATTCCACATGGTATTGAATTCAGCATTTGTTTGGGTCTCATAGATGCACTTTTCATATTCATACTTGAATTCATTGGACAATGACCTTAGAATCTCTCTTTCTTTTGCCCTAATCTGCCACATTGAAAAACGATGACGAGTCCCAGGAAAAACGTGGGCAATCGCTTGTTGGATTGCCATGTCTTGATCAGCTATAATTGACTTTGGACGGCACCCAGACATTGCCCTAAGCCATGTCCGAAACAACCAAATGAAAGACTCCTTAGACTCATTGGCAATTAAAGCACACCCAAGTAGCACTGGCTGCTTGTGGTGGTTAACTCCAACGAATGTTGCAAATGGCACCAGATAATTAGTCTTCCTGTATGAAGTATCAACCACAATAGCATCACCAAACTGACTGCATGCAAATCTGGATCTGCCATCTGCCCAGAAAACACTCATGCAAGCCCCATTATTAACTTGTACAGAATAAAAGAATCCTGTATCTTCAGCTTGCCTACTTTGAAAATAATCGAGAAGCAAACGGTACCATTCACTCCCAATGTTGTTACCCTGACTACTATTGAAACGGCCACCATTATTGATCTCTGATAGATCCAAAGAGTCCAATCCACCTTTAACCTCCTCTATAAATTTCTTTGAAGCTGTGGAACTTTTCTTATGAGTTCCTGTTTGTGGCTCAAGATCATGATTATGATCTTTCTGAAGACGGTCCACCATCCAAGTTCCAGAATCTTGTCTCTTAATTCTCATAAAAGCCCCACAACCTACTCTTGAAGGGTGCTGAAATCCTTCCTTAGAGCACACGAATCGCCGGGACGTAATTAACCCATCATTCTTTGATCGGAACAGCTGACCAATTCGAGTTTTAAATCCAGCTTCATCTGCATACCTTAGATAAAAATGGTATGCTTCATCAGCTGAACTAAACACTAGACCAGCATATGGTTCAGCTTTTGGTTGTCGTCCATCTCCTCCTGTTTTAATGCGTTTGAAACTAATGGATCCAGACGAGCATGGTAGTCCATCATCGACTTCTGCAAGCAACTTCAATTTCGTCCTTGGAGAAACCTCAGCTGATGGTTTCCTAGCTGTAGGAGTTCTCTGCAGCAAAATTGGAGGATGGCTTTCCTCCACATCTCCAAGTTCATGATTGTGATCCTTGTGTATCTGATCAACAACCCATTTTCCAGAATCCCGTCTTTGCACCCTTATGAATGCTGGACAACCCGTCCTTGAACTTAGCTGAAAACCCTCCTTCGAGCACACAAACCTTCTTGAAGCAACAGAGCCATCAGTGCGTGATCGATAGAGTTGGCCAGTCCTAGGTCTGAATCCTACACGTGTGGCATACACAGTGTAAAACTCACGCGCCTCATCTGCAGAATCAAACTCTAACCCTATACGTGGCTCGAGTCCTGACTCCCTTGCAACCTCTACATTGACATTGTTGTTCGCTCGTACCATACCTAGT